TAGAGGAGGATGGGAGGGAAGGCGAAGACGAACTCGAGTGAGATTCAAGTAGTTATAATTTTTGGATAGTATAATTTTAAGAGTGGTGATAATTAGAGGTAGACGAGAGGTGTGWTAAGAGMAAGCCAAAAATGTGAGATAATTATATGTGATATAATGATAAGACATTGTAAAAAACTTTGTAAGTTGTGCAATAAAAACCTGATTATATATATATATATAGTAAGATATTCAATATATAATATAAAATAGAAAATATATTACAAAAATAAAAAATAATAATACTATATATTGTAAATGTGTATTAATAAATTAATCATAATTTACTTGTTTTATTTTTCTATTCTCGATAAAGCAACTTTTGAAACATCCTATATATATATATATACTTTTACATATGAAATACATTTACACACGTAACCTATAATATTTATTTTATAATATACGAATATTTGTAAAATAACAGTCAATATTTGTAGTGCACTTTTTATCGATAAACTGTCAGTATTATTATCAAGAAAAAACATTATTTCGCCATTGTGAGATATAGATATTTCCGCCAGGAAAATAATTATTTATCTATTTAACCATTTGTTTTTTATTTATATTTATTTATCGTATATGAGAATATATGAAGCTGATCGTGGTCGTATGCTAAACGTTAAATTTACATCTTCCAAGATTAAGTTTACCAAGATAAAACATCTAATTAATTCATTTTCAAACAACGTTAGCAGCATTAAAATGTATCCACACACAATGTTACTTAAGAATAAATATATAATAATTATATAAATTCTCGGAGAGAGAAGGACAATTATTTTGTTATTAAATATTAACATCCCACAGCTTTATTAATTTTTCTCTTCTACCGACAGAGAAAGCTTATGCATTTACGTGGCCCTTGTCATTGTTCCCGATAATTGAATATTCTTTATAGAATAATTAAATGGGTTTCGTTCATCCTTTGACATTATTATGTTTATGCATAAGTGTAATTAACAATTTTATATATATAAAAAAAAAGCAAAAAAAAAAAACAAAATCTAACCATATATATATAAACGTATAGAAATTATCGTTTATCGGATAATATTCACGAATTTTATAAGCCGATCAAACGTAAATCTTTCTCTTTGAAAATAGATAAATCGAAAACTTTGTTATATTTATTATCTCTTTAATTTAGAAACGATTTTATAAAATAATTATCGATATTTTTCCAAATTGTTATCTAAATTAGTATGAATAAATTCAACATATTAGGTGTACCTATTAATTCAGTGCCACGATATTATTATAATAAATTCGTTTGCACCACAAAATCGCAATTTAATTTTTTTGTCAAGAAATTCAGTAGATGCAGTTGAAAGATAAGACCAAAAAGTAATCGAAAATAAAATATAAACTATTTAGAATATATAATAAAACACATTTAACATATAAAATTACTTAACAAATAAATATTAAATTTGTTAAAAAGGCAACACACGAATTAATTGATACGCCCTAATAGTTTATATCTTCTCGATTTCATAATTTTTTTTTCTTTTTTTTTATATAGATCTAATAATAACAATTTTTTTTACGAGAGAATTAAAAATAAAAAAAAAAAAAGAAAA